AAAAAGAAAGAGAGAGGAGAGGGGAGGGGCAGAGAAAGATAGGGAGAGAATCCCAAGCAGGCTCTGTGCTGTGAATGCAGAGCCCGACGCAGGGCTCTCCCTGTGAACCGTGAGTGAGATCATGACCTGAGCCGAAACCAAGAGTCAGACGCTTACCCAATTGAGCCACCCAGGCGTCCCAGTTGATTGTCTTTTAATGCTACACGCAGGAAATTTTCCTTCTCTGCATTTTGCTCGCTAGGCCTATCACTATGCAGTATACTGTAATGACTTGAAATGGCCTTTCCTCTACAGTTTTAAATCATATTTAATTTTATATGAACTAATACATGAACTAAAAAGTAAAATACTACACCAAGGAAACTCCTCACCTCTAGAGACTATCAAACTACTGGTCATTTATACCGTGGTAACTACGTTAACTTTGCTGGCTGGGAGCACTCAAGTGTTTGGAACAATCCCAACACTTTGAGACAAAATCAGAAGCCACATAAATCTTACATTAAGGAGACAGAAAATTCCTTGCTACCCATTTCTACTCCTCTCATTCCCAGACCCCTCCCCGTGCCTGGTATATTGGGATGCAAAGCGCTTCTCAGGTAATTAATTCAAAGTTGCACCAACTTCTTTGTCCCTTTTTCCAGTGACTAGGCCAGACCTCCTGTCGCAGGAAGGCAATGACACAATTGGCTTTGAAGAGAAGGATATCACACCTTCCCCCCTATCTCCCACTGGGCTTCAGATTTCTACTCATAGCAAACATATCATGAAATGATCTGAGTAAGAAGCTTATTTAGGAAAAGGAGCTGATAATATAATAGGGAAGCTGAAACTAAGTTGAGTGTTTAGTAAATTTAAATAAATGAATAAAGCTAAAAAAAAAAAAAAAAGACTGAATAAATCCTGTAGCGCATAAGGCGACGTAAATAATCAAGAAGTAATGAGTCGCACAGAAACTGCCTCGTCAACATTGTCTTTCCCACTAGCATTTACATTCTGTAGCAGAGGTCGCTTGTTCAGTGCTCAACGTTGATTAATGGTCAATTCTTACCGGAACAGCCGCCATCAGTGTTGGTTTCAACATGGTTGTGTCCCCTTTGCTTCCTTTCTTTATTTTTGAAGACTACAGAAAGAAAAAGCGATCTCTATAAAGTGATCCTTACAGTGGAATTCTCAGAACAAAAAGTCAATTATTATAAATTCACCATTTTAACTCATTCATTGTAAAAAGAACTTAAAAGGCAAGTGATTAACTGATTAACTGTCACCTTTGCAACATACTGTCACAAGGATGGGGGGAAATGTGTTCAAGAAATTTGTTAGTATCTAAAGGCACCGACATTTAATTTACCTGATCTGCTAACGTCTGTGGTGAAGAGTAGCCGATGCGGCATCCGTGAGAAAGACACACAAGCTCGGCACTTAATTCTAACACGTGGGCCAGAGGCAGATATCCAATGTAAACATCTTCCTCTCTGAAAGACAAGGGGATATAAAAGCAACCTTCAGAGGCCAGCTCTGCAGGAAGCGACTGCAAAAGGGAGCCCGTGTGGGGAGAAAGGGAGAGTGAGAGAGAGTGTGTGCGTGTGTACACGTGGGGGAGGGGGGCGACACACACACGCTGGGGGTGTGCGGGGTGTGCAGGGAGGGCGGGGGCGCAGAGGGGGAGAACCACAGCTCAGCCTAAACCCCAGGAGGCAGACACTAAGGAGGAGGCTCGTCTCCGGTCCTGCTTGAAGGCACTCACTAATTAGGAGTGCTGCAGGAGCCACATGCTAGGAGAGAAGAAATGAAGGCTGGGGGCCAAAAGAAGGGTTCTCTCGAAGGGCAGGGGAAATCATCCGAAAAGGAAATGGTCTTTAAAGCTGGTGGGCTCCCAAACGGAAGAGTTCAAACAGAATCCACAACTGTTGGCCAGGAGTTTTACAGAAGAGACTCCTGTTTTGAGAGTTATTTACAAATAATAAATTCTACCATGCACAAGAAAACATGTACGTATGTGTATCTATTTCAAGAAGTGCCCCCACCTCCAAAAATATGAAGGGCAAACTAAGAGTAACCCAGAGAACTGCTGCTCTGAATTCTTTCTAAAAGGGATCCATTCATAAGAGAAACTTCTCTCTCCATCCCTAAATTCAATTCCACAGTAACTGGCATGAGGGTAATTTCTGTGTGCAAGGGCATCAGAAACATCCAGCCATGACCACACACCAGATCAGTCGCTCGCCCACTGCCAAACAAGCCCTCACGGTCCCATCTGGGCTCCTCCGCCAGTCTCTTCCCACGGCACGCCCACCCTGCCCGTTAGTGCTGGAATTGCTCTTAAGAAGAAAAATCGGAGGCTGAATGAAGCTCAATAAACATTTCCTGGCATCTATGAAGTTATCTGTCCACCTGAATCACACCTGTTTAGGTATAAAAATGACTCTAGTGGCAATACTATCAACGGATTAAGATAATTCACATGAAGGGATTTGAGTCAGTTAAAATTTACACTTTTAAAGTGAAAAGTAAATATTAACAATGAGATTGTATGTAAAACTGTATTTTTTTTTTTAATTTTTTTTTTCAACGTTTATTTATTTTTGGGACAGAGAGAGACAGAGCATGAACAGGCGAGGGGCAGAGAGAGAGGGAGACACAGAATCGGAAACAGGCTCCAGGCTCCGAGCCATCAGCCCAGAGCCTGACACGGGGCTCGAACTAACGGACCGTGAGATCGTGACCTGGCTGAAGTCGGACGCTTAACCGACTGCGCCACCCAGGCGCCCCTGTAAAACTGTATTTTAAACCTCACAATTGTAACTGTTTTGTAATTAATTTAAGTGTCCTGCCTTTTTTTTTTTTTGAAGGAAATGCCAACTGTGAACAGACTCTGAGAGACTAAAAGAACTGCTACTACCATATACTGCTAAACGACACAAATGTTAATGTAACAACAGGTACGACCACGTTTACCATGACTTACCCCAGCCTTGGAATCCTTTCCGCCATCCCAGTTATACCAGCAATAATGTTGCCGTGGGAGATCATGACTCCCTTTGGAAGTCCTGTGGATCCACTTGTATACATGATTACTGCAATATCTAAGGGCCCGGGTTTGCTATGAGGTTTGTTTTCTGCATTGGAGGAAAAAAAACACACACTTCTGAGAAATTCAGCCATATTAGCCAATTTTTTCCATAATCATGTTTGTTAACTCGATTCAACAACTAGGTCAGCAAAACAGATCAAGTCCCCTCACATAAAGGAAATATAAAATATAAACAAATCATAAATCTATAATGTCATAAGAGCTATAAAGAAAAACACAGCAAGACTAGGTGAGATGACAGGAGAAGCAATTTAGATGGAAAAGTCAAGAAAAACTTTCCTGTCAAGTTGGCATTTTAGTAAAGACTTGAATACAGTGAGGAAGGGAGCCATGGAAACCCTGGAATTGGGAGAAGAATGTTTCAAGCAGAAAATAGGCAAGAGCGAAGGCCCTGAGGTAGCAATGTGATTGGCATATGTAAAGACCAGTGAGTATGAGGAAAAACAGCAGGAAAGGAAGCTGAAGTCACAGCCAGGACCATATCACGCAAAGCCTTCAAGGCCTCGCTCAAGACTTTGGATTTCACTCCGGGGTAGAAAACAATGCTGTTTCAAACAGCAGTTCGTCATCACCTGTGGCTGCTACGGGGCTACCCAACTTGAGAAAGGGACGAAAGGCAGTAGGGACACAAAAGGCTATTCCAGCAATTCAACTAAGAAATAAGGGTGGTTGCTAAACAATGTTCTCGGCCTCACATGGTGAAGCCAAGCTGACTTGGCTACAGTCCGAGTCCTGGACTAAGAGACCGTGTCCTCCTTGGGCACACGCTAAGGACAGCAGTCAACGTCCAGCAGACAGCAGAAAGACAACGAGAAGTGGGTCACGGATGGCACTGCCTGGGTTAACCCTGGAAGCCCCCGACAGGTGGACCTCTTCAGTAAGTGGGGGGGAAGCGATTTTAAACGTGTTCACCAGTGAACCCTTCCTCTCCAACATGTGCAGACAGATCTCATGACAACGGTCTTCGTTCCAGTCCCACCTTCCTAGCCTGCCACTCAGCCCTTCATCCCAGGCACCGTCCTCCACCACCACCGCGTCCTACGAACTGCTCTGAGGCGGTCCTCCTGCAGTCCCAGTGTCACCTGACTCCCGCTGACGACTCCTGCCTCACTGATGGGCTCCTCTCGCTTGGATTCCAGGAACCACACAGCATGGTTTCTTCCCTCTTCTCTGACCAACGCTCCGCTGCTTTCAGAGGCACCATTCTCTGTGGGTGACCTCACCTACTTCCACAGCTACAATTAAAACCTAAGTGCTTCTGGCCTCTGAATCTCTTAACTCCAAACTTAGCTCCAGAGTATATGCCATACCCCCACTAAAGATCGACACTGAGGGGCGCCCGGGTGGCTCAGTAGGTTAAGCATCCGACTTCGGCTCAGGTCATGATCTCGTGGTCTGTGAGTTCAAGCCTCGCGATGGGCTCTGTGCTGACAGCTCAGAGCCTGGAGCCTGCTTCGGATTCTGTGCCTCTCCCTCTCTCTGCCCCCTCCCTGCTCCCACTCTGTCTCTCTCTCTCAAAAATAAAGATTTAAAAAAAGTGCTACACTGAATGTCCCACTAGCACTGAAAATTCCATATGCCCAACACTAATGTCAGCACAGCCCTATTCCCATTCCACAGCTGAGTGCTTACATCTAAACAAGCACTATGTTTCCAGCTACAAAGGAAATCCAGTCCCGGCATCGTAGCAGCTTCTGTGATATTCCCAAATCCCAATACACTAACACTTTTCTGACACTGAGAGTGGGAACCTCCAGCAGCACCATGCCCACGTGTTCCAGCTAGAGGATGAGAAGACATTCCCTCTGCAAGGAAGAGGGAGAGTCTGAGCCGGGAATGAAAGCGGGGAATCCAGGATTAGCCACTCCAGCCATCTGCTCATACTTACACATAATTCACATAGCACTGGTTTGACGCCACTATTTACGAAACTAACTTCAAACCACTCAAAACTATCAGAAAAAAGAAACGGGAAACCTGTAGAACGTGAAAGTCTTTCCAACTAATCTCAAATACGTACTACTTTTTAGAATACGAATAAATTAATGTGTGGGTTCTTCCTGAAACCTTTCTTCAAAGGGCAGAAAACAGTAGATGTAGAGTGGCCGTACTTCCCAAAGTGACGGTTTAGGAAGTGGGTTTGTCCCTGACCTGACTTCAGGGTCTGGAACGACTCCGGAGAGCACAGCCGCTGCAGAACCCCGGGAGGGACCTGGTGGGGTGTGCCGTACCTGCGGTCGCCTTGGCTCCGAGGGCCTGCACCGCGGCCATGGTGTGCACGATGACGCCCTTGGGGAATTCGGACCAGGTCGGTGGCTTCCCGTCCACAGTGATGATGTGCCGCAGGCATGGGACTAAAGAAACTATATCCTGGAAAAACACAAGCGTGCCTCACGTTCTTCACTGTTCGTCAGCGAACAGCTTAGAGCCAGTCCAGGACACGAGAAAAGTAGTTTACCGCAGTCACAGAATTATCCATTTCTTGCCTCCCACAAAGGGTGAGGGGGTGCACTGGCATGAATACCACTTCCTTCAGATGGAGAAATACCGGTCGGAAATTTACATTGCTATTTTATGGCATTAGACTTACTGTGTACCCTGTTCTTTGGTACAATCCTAATCAACAAAGTCACTTCCTTACAAAATAGGCGTGTAAACACAGGCCGCCGGAACAATGGAGCAGCCACCGCCCTGCATGTTTTCAAGAGGCTAACAAAGATGGGGGGATTCACTTACAAACCTGCATATAAAAAGGGCGCCTGGGTGGCTCAGGTGGTTAAGCATCTGACTTCAGGGCACAGGTCATGATCTCACGGTTCGGTTCGTGAGGTTGAGCCCCACATCGGGCTCAGAGCCGGCTTCAGATCCTCTGTCCCCTTCTCACTCTGCCCCTCCCCCACTGGTTTTCTCTTTCTCTTTCAAAATAAGTAAACAAACTTTTAAAAAAAAATCGCCAGGGGCGTCGGTTAACTGTCTGACTCTTGACATGGGTTCAGGTCATGATCTCGGGGTCAGAAGACTGAGCCCCACATCGGGCTCTGTGCTGACAGCATGGAGCCTGCTTGGGATCTTCTCTCTCTCTCTCTCTCTCTCTCTCTCTCTCTCTCTCTCTCAAAATAAATAAATAAACTTAAAAAAAAAAGGCAGATATTACTGTTTTCACAGAAAGTCATCTAGAGATTTAAACCCCTTTTCTCCTATAGTTTCATAAAGTCGTTTTCCTTAAAAAAATTCTAAAACCTCATAATGACCCAATGCTTCCGATATAAAACAAGTTACTAGTTTAGAAACAACCCTTCAAAATTAGAAATTTACTGAAAATAGACTAGAACACAAGTGGACACAATGAAAGTTATGACTTTGAAAGGTCATAATAGCATCAGCATTAGAGCCCAAGACACTGAAAATTCTCAGGTTTCGGACAGTTACAAAATAACTGCAGTCCTCACCTTCAACTTTGTTTGCAAGAGTTCTTTACTGGTAATGATGTTGGTCACCTCTGTTTCATTCAATCCATGAACAATAGCCGGACCTCCTAGAGTAGCATACAATGTAACAACTACAGGGAAAAGAAGGGCAAGTCAAGTGTTTGAACATTTCATGGAAGTACCAAATATAAACAAAGTCTCTGAAAGTGGTCATGAATCATAGTGGTATACTGAGCCCTAAATTTAACAATCCATGGCTTATTATATAACTGTGCTACGATTTTCTAAATTATTTCAATATACTAATAAACATGCCCACTCACTCACCCTTTCCTACCTAATTGCTCCCCCAAGATTTCCAATATTTTAAAACAAAAAAAATTTGAGGGGTGCCTGGGTGGCTCAGTCAGTTGAGCATCTGACTTTGGCTCAGATCATGATCTCATGGTTCATGAATTCAAACCCTACATCGGGTTCTATGCTGACAGCTCAGAGCCTGGAGCCTGCTTCGGATTCTGTGTCTCCCTCTCTTCCTGCCCCTGCCCTGCTTGGTATCTCTCTCCCTCCCTCTCTGTCTGTCTCTCTCTCTCTCTCTCTCTCAAATATAATTAAAAAAAAATTTTTTTTTAAGTTTTGTTTCACCTACAGATGTTGCTCTGGGATGCCTCAATGGAAGGGATTATATTTGACTCCTAAAACGTCAAAGCCTTAGTTAACTACTTGGTACGAAAATAAGAAAAAAGAAAATATACCAGTAAGACGCACTGAGTACCGGGTTGATGGTGTGATATGTTAACATGAACAAATGGCAGTACTGCTTACTCTAAAGTAGAAAACTAAAGAAAAACATTCTAGAAACGCTGACATTTAATGATGATCCTGTGGGCTTTTATTTGCTTTCTGCCTAACTGACAGAAGCTAGACTTAAAGTGACTTATTATTTTAAAGCTTCTCAAAAGAAGCATACCGTAAACCCGAACCTATGAAAGCCAAAGGGTATGTCAGTTTTTTAAAAAAAATATTTACAGCAGGAAACCTAATAAAAGCGTCATCTTTTCTGTTTCATCTGAAAGGTAAGTCAACGTCCAGACGTCACGTCACGTTTTGGCACCAAGGCCTCTGAGCTAAGCTCCCGGGACGACCTCACGGGCTGGGGCCTCAGGGTTGCCACTTGAATTACTACAATATAAAAACTCCCTATCATTGAACTTGCAGTTGGGTTTGAGTACTGACGTCACCTGTCACTGCTAACAGAAATGGCACAACAAAGTGACACTAACTTCACAAGAGAGCTCCTGAGAGAACCGGCCGAGCCTTCCCTGACCCACAGGCATAGGCCTCACTCGCTAGGCCCCGAGCCCCGCAGTCATACGTTCCAGTCCCCTTACCACACCGGCCCCCCAACTGTTCCACACTTGATTCCTTTTCCAAAGTAGACCCACAACTCGAAGTTGTAACAGAATTCTCCCCTGATTAGATGCAAGGTGAAATTAACTTCCGGATTTTAATTTCTTAAGAATGAAATATTTATAAACAAACAATATCCTCTGTCCCCCAGTAACTCAAGTCTGCTCTTCCAGAAGATCAGAAAGCCTACGTACGCTGAAAATTATACATAAAGCACGCCTGTGCAGCAATCATCCATTCGGCCCTGGTTTCACAGAAGATGGCGATGTTGGTCTTTGGTTTCTGACCCAACATCTGTAAGCCATTTCCAAAATTAAGAGCTCTAACGAAGACATCTTCATAGGAGAGCCAATTATAGTGTCCGAGAATAACCTGATAAACAAAAAACATATAAATACCTTTTAATGTAACCAAAATATTGTTTTCTAGAAAGAAGCCAAGAGTTGCTCCAAGTTCGAGGACAAACCAGAGTTACGTCTGCATGTAATTTAACTATTTCTTTCTAACAAAAGTTAGGCAGTGAGTTTCAAGTGAAAAAAACCTGTTTTGAAAATTAGCTATTTTGTGACATTTTCTATGGCAAATCGCATGCTAAATCCTTCACTGTAATGGCGGGGGGGGGGTATTTTCAAAAATCTTCAGAGTTTGACAGGATTTTAACGATCAATTATTTGACCAAAGGATCCTACATTATTAATTCACTTATAGATCATTAACTTAAACAATATAGATGTTAGCTTAAAATTTAGCCTAATATCAAGTACTAAGGGTACCAATATTTTCCTTTCCTTCTATTTATGAATTCCCAGATTTTAATATCAAATGATACAATATGATTCACAAACAGAAACTGGACAGACCCAAGGTAATAGACATATTTATGGCTGTTCAATTTGAATTGCTGAATGGCTGTATCCAACCAGGACTAGTTACATTATTCATCTAAGCCTTAAGTACCAACTGGCACCACTGGGCTTTCAACGTTTTATCTGTGTTTACCATAAGTACAGGTAACATTAAGTCTACGTTAGTAATAATCCTCTTAGAACTGGCTAACATTTTTCTTTAGGAATTTTCTCCAACTTGTATCATACCATAAATCCCCAATTACCTATAGATTGGATAAAAACCTCCTCACACTACAAATATATACATATAGTTCCCAAACATGGCTGTTTCACTAATTCATCTCTCACATACCTTAAAACCATCTAACCACATTCATTTTAAAAAATGCATACATTTAAGACAGTTCTAGGAATAAGAGTCTGGGCGAAGATACAAAAAGGGAAAAAAAGGGGGGGTAAATACTGCCCTCTAGTGTCCTATTCCATAATGTACTTAAGAAATAAATTCTTAATTTTGATGGTTAAGGCAACTGGATTTAAAATATTTATTTAACTTTAGTGGTTCCAAACTCTCACCTTGCTCTGCACCCCCATGAAATGCTCAGCACGGGGAGCTCCAATGACTTCAAAAGGAGCTCTGTGGGGGTGAGAAGACAGATGAGAATTTGGCCAAAATGTGCACAAACTGGATTACAATTATTAAGAATTTTATACTCCAAAGATAAGCATGAGCTACCTCTTAGATTCCAGAATCTAAATGATGAGCTTTGTAAGTTTCAGAGAATGTGTGTGTTCTGAAAGGTATTGTCTGTATAATCCAAGTATTTAAATCCATATAATGGGGCCACCATATGGCAAAGAAATCAAATCACAAATTTAACTGAAGTGTAACCATACTGAATTTCAATAAATTCTTGAAACCACTGAATCTTCTATCTTTCCCATCAAGATTCCATTTAAAGGCCCCTAACCCACCCTGCAATTTTGTCTTTTACTGGAAAAAATTTCCAATTCTAACTTTGTCCCTATGGTTAGCTCAAACCTGAGATTAAATTCATTTATTTACTCCCTGCCCACACTGCTAAAAAGAACACCCAACCTCATTCTATCCAGGATCATAGACCCAACAGTCCTATTATGCTTCCCTGCTGTATTCATTTTCACTCCCTCTGAAATGGCTACTTGAAACCTTCTCTCCACTCAAATATCCTCTGCCCCACCCTCTCTCCCTCGCTTCTGCACTTCCAGCTGATGGTACGATCTCATAGATCACTGAGAAATTAGAAATGCAACAGGAGTGACCTTATCTTCCTACCACCAAGTTTAACAGCTTACATACATCTGTGTCCTTGGTCTCTGCAGAATCTCATGGTATCACAATGGTTGAAGCACCCCTAGCAAAAGCCAAACTTACAAAGACTTTACTTCAAGGCGCTTCCCAAACTTCTATCTCCAACCTTAACCACCTCTACTTGCATAGCCAAGTTCAAAAACCTTACCCTGGCCTACAAAGCCCTAGGGCCTAGCCATTGCCAGCGTCTCTGTGCTCATATCAAACCCTCTTCCTCTAACTCATTATTTCCTGTAAATGCTTTGTCCTTTCCGTCCTTCAAACAGGCGGGGCCAGGGAAGGAGCTAAGATGAGGCAAGATGGGTGCCATGGGCACAAAATTTAGAGAGGTGCTCGTTCTCAGGGTCAGAATACCTTCCTTCCATTTTGCACCCCAACTGCCTCACCCAACAGGCTGCATTCCAGTTTTAGAGTCAGTGAGTGCACTACCCCGTCCCAATACACGGAAGGTTCATTACCCAGATCTTCGCAGAGGTGGCTCTTCTGTTGTTCAGACCTCCACTAAGAGAGGCTAACCCTGATCTCCAATTAGCATTATGTCTTCACAGTAGATATTAAATCTTTAACTTACTACTTATTGTCATTCTTCCTCCAATACAAATGTAAGAGCCCTGAGAAGGGTAACCTGTGTGTCCTATTCATTACTGTCTCCCTAATGGCGTATAGTTGGCACTCAGTCATTATTTCCTATACGCATAGAATGAGCAGTGTTAATTAAACACAATTTCAATTCGCTCTGGGCCTTCGGAGAGTCTTCTAACCCCTGTCTCCTCTAGAAGCCTTATTTTTAAAAAAACTGCTTTTAAAAACATCCACATCCACCTGATCATTTAACCCCTCGAGCTACTTTTGTTCTGGCCACCCTTCCATTGTGCACATCCTTTGCCTGCCACCTCTCAACTATTCTTATCCATGGGGCACCTGGTTGGCTCAGTCAGTTAAGCATCTGACTCCTGATTTCAGCCCAGGTCACGATCTCAGGGTTCATGAGATCGAGCCCCAAGTCGGGCTCTGTGCTGACAGCTTGGAGCCTGCTTGGGATTCTCTCTCTCCTTCTCTGCCCCTCCCCCACTCATATACACACACCATATATTCTTATCCATGACCCCTGAGACACTAATCTGTTCAATTTTCCCGACTCTGAGTCAGGAAAAGGAATGACTAGTCTGGATAGGTAAACGTCTACCATGGAGTCTTTGAGCAGTTTCCTAATTTGTAAAGTTAGGGGGAAAGTTAAGATAGGCCCTATGGCTGCTTTCCTCGGGTGGTTTCCTCTCTCACATTTAATTGGCTTATCTTTATTCTGTGACAGGTGTGACATACACATGTGTAAATATCAGTGTTATCACTCAGACTACCACTGCCCAGAACAGAGAAACTTAATAATTGACTTTGTTCAGGAACATATTGATGATGCTAAGATGAGGGCCTCTTATCTCAAAAGATTAACTATAAAAATAAAGTGGAGATAACATACAGAAAATTCTGTAAAATAAAAGCACACAATACTTAACTATTCAGGACCCTGACAAATGACACAATCAAATAAAGATCAAGTTTTCCGGTAGCTAAGGGTTTGACCAGTTGAAGTACCAACTTTTCTTTCACTTTAGCCATTTAGAAGAGAAGTACTTCAAAATGAACACTTTCCTGCCTTCCTCCACAAAGTACACCTGGTTTCATTTAGCCCTACTCTGTGCGAATGAAGATTATGACAATTTATTGAGAAGGAGCCAGAGGGTGAAAATATTCAGCAGGTCTGGATGATGGGTGATGATCATGAGGAGAACGACGATGAGGAGGAGGGCGGCCAACCTTTGCCAGTGTTCACGCCGTGCAAAGCACACTGCAGCAGCAGCTTGTAAAACTCTCACACTAACTCTTGAGACACAGTATTATTAGCCCTATTTTACCAAAGAGAACACCGAGGCGTAGAGAGAGTAAGCATAACTTGCTCAAAAATCACACAGCCTACGTAGGACCGGAATGCAAACCCGGACAGGCTCATTCCGGAATCTAAGGACTAAATTACAGCGCTCCGAGGATGCTACAGAAGGAGGCGGCTGTCACTGTGCAGGTGAGAACAGTGGCCTGATTGACATTTGTAAAAGATCCTTTCAACTGCTGAGTGTGCGTGGGTTAGAGTAGGGGCAAGCGTGGAAGCAGAAGACCCGTAAAAAGGGGGATGGGGGAACTATTAA